AAGATACTGGATGCCCTGGGCAAATGGAGTTTGCTTGACATTTACGTCTCCATCATGCTGATTGTGGGCATGCACTTTCACGTGCCTCTGGATGCGCCCGGCGTTCCTGGTCAGTTCAAATTCTACTGTCGTTTCTCATTCGTGTCTCTGTTCTTTGCAAAGCTCAAAAGCAAACTTTTGCAGGTGAAACGGCCATCGACATGTGGGTGGCACCGGAACCGGGCCTGTTTGCATACTGGACCGTGATTGTGCTTTCCCTGATGGCCACACACATTATGGTCTATACCCACCGACGATGCGTGGCGGAGAACACGCAGCAACAGGCCCTGCGATCATCTGAAGCCGAAGCCCTCGCGCATCACGCTTTTCGCACACCAGCTGGCTACTTTCGGCTCAACCGTGCCGGAGTTGGTATCATGGTCTTTCAGTTTCTGCTTATCATCTGCGCCATCATCATTGGTTGGTGCCGAGTCCTGCCAAGCCATCCTCGCCGCCTCACTACACTGGGCTTTTTTGGCAAAGAATGTACCTGGTCGCACGATTCCATGGCTGTTGAAACGACGTGCTTTCTCATGCAGCTGCTGTTCCACCCATCCTCGCTCACAGGCTCAATCATCACGGCATACACATTTCACATCAAGGGTTTGGTGGCATGGCTGTTGAATGAGGACGACTTTGCCATTGATCGAACCTATTCTCTTTGGAGCATGTTCATGAACCTGCCAGACTCGAGTCCTCACCCCAACGGCGTGACCATCCGAGCCATTCAGGCCCTCTACCTCCTCTTTGCCTTTATCGTCCCCATTCTGCAGCAGGTCAGTGACAAACCGGCTGTCGGATGGCTTTCGCGCGTTGGTCTCACACGATTTCGCTCAACGTTCTGTGGTGCTTGTTTGCGCATCGTCTCTCTTACAGATCATGCTAGCTGTTTTATGGTTAATGCCTTTGCGGCCCCGCAGTCAAGAACTCGTTTATTGGTTCTCAGAGATTTGCTTTGCCTGGTCTGCACTTGAGGTGCGTGTGCGCATGCCTCTGCTGGCACCTTGACGCGAGGACAAGGTCACTCGTTCATCAAAGTTTGATACATTGACTCTCTTACCGGCTTCGTGTTCCTGACGTGGCTTAATGCATGGTGGGTTTCGATCGTGGCATGGTACACGCACCTAGGTTTACTTGCTGAGCATTATTGTGGCTCTGCTTCAGCTGCCACAGTTGGCTCAATTTATCATTGGCAGCAAATGCGATGCCATCAACGCACTTTTGCGAACCCTATTCGAGCCCGTTTTGGGAAACGAGAGCATGTGCTTTGACGTCAGCACCGAATTGAATCACGGCACGCTGGTGTTGGGCCTGTGCGTCTTGCTCAATTTTGTGGTGACCATCATTGTCATGCGCATGTCACGCTTTGTAAGTGCCACGCTCCCACCTCCTCGTGCACACGGCCGTGCGATGATACCCTTTTCTTTGCGCTCTCGCTTCCTGTCGTCATCTGTTTTGAGTGATCACGGGAGCTTTTATGGAGACCGCTTGTACGGGTAAACTTATTGCCCTGCTTATCGCGTGTGCACTGTCTCAGGCCATCAATGATCGCAACAGCAGTAAGCAGGCTTTGTTGCTCAACGATCCGCTGCCTAGTCACCGTGTGGGTAGTGAGAAGGACCCTTTGCTGTCGCATAGCTCCGGCAGCGACGGCGCCCGTAAACACGGGCAGGCTGAGGCCGAGACCCAGGCCAGCATTATCTTTCGCCTCGGGGAGCGGTTGGGCCTCTTGGAGCGAACCACCGAAACCCAAGAGCAGGAGCGCTTTATCATCGATTAGAGCTGTGGAGAGAATTGCGCTTAGCTTGACGTTTTCTGACTATGCACCTTTGAACCTTGCCCCGGAATTGCCGGTCGACCCATCAAATGACACAACAATAGTCGAGAACGAAGTGTGAGAGGTATCCTAAGATTATTTTATGCAAATTGATTTTTTTTTTTTTTCTCTCGCTGTGCACAAACCAACCTGCAGATTGATGATTGCTCAGTGTCCGATCAAAGCCCACAACCAAAGTTACTGTGCCTCTTACACTTTTGCCGCTCAAGTTATGATCCATGTTCATTATTGGCTTGTGACTACCATTGGAAAAAGAAGACTTCAAGGCTAGTAAGCCCTGCAGTATTATGCAAATGGTCTTTTTTTTTGATTGTTGAAGTTTCATTCCAGATGCAAGTGTGGTCAAGATAAGCCGCACAGGCTCAGAGAGATAAGCAGAAAAGATGTAAAAAAGAAAAGAAAGGAAGCGGTCGTGAAAGACGACCAAAGACACAAAGGGGGGTCAAGTCTTCAGCAGCTGCTTCAAAGTAGATGTTGTGGGTGGCAAAGGTAAAAAACCATGGGGCGAGCGGTGGGCAGACATACAGCCAGACAAAAGAGACGTAAAGGGGATAGTACGGTAGGATAGGGAGAACGCTTCACCATAGCTCACACAAGCCCAAGCACTGATTGGCGCTGCCGCTGGCATTGTCACCGTAAATGTTCTGAACGGAGGACCGGCACAGGCCTAGGCTAGGAAGATGGTGCTTCCCGTTAAGGAAAACAGAAAAAAAAAAAAAAAGGAAAGAGCAGACCAAGCTTAAGTGCGCATCCAGAGCATGGAGCCGCGGAGGAAGTTGTAGTCAGGGAACTGCTCAATGGGGCCAACAGCCGCGACTGAGGGGCAGCGATCGTAAACATAGTTGGACATGGCGCTGCAAACGTCCGAGGCCGTGACGGCGCTGATACGAGCATCAACCTCCACGGCAGGCATACGGCGGCCCAAAGTGAGGATCTGACGACCAATCTCATCGTTCAGGGCCTGGAGGCCTATTAAAGAAAATTAAATAAAAAACAAGGGGGCGGACAAAGAAAAGTAACACGTTGGTGAGGTTCATGATGCGTCGGTATACAAGGGAAACGGTGAATCAAAGGGATGGCTGCAGGACGGTAACAGCAGTACAAGACGCACTATCAACGCCGAAGAGAATGCCAGCCTTGAGCTGCATCTTGGCACGGTCGACCTCAGAGTCCGAGGCGTTCTGAAAGAACAGGCATCCAAGTTTCCAGGCATTGGTAAGAAAGTGAGGATGAAAATATGTCAGGAACATTAAGGGAGTGAAGACAGGGTACAATCAGAGATGGGGGAGCGCACAAGGCTCAACAACGCACGTGGGAAAGACGCATCCACTCCTGAGTGGTGGCGTAGATGAAGTCATCAATCTGGTTGTGGGGAGTGGAGGCGTAGATGCCCCAGAGACCCGTGTCGGTGTAGCTGGTGTTGAAGGACATGAAGCTGTTGGCCAGCTTCTCGTCGACGCTGAGGCGAGCAAGCTTGGAGCTCAGGTGACCGCTACCGCCGAAGCTACGATCCCACGAGCCGATGATGGTGGAGCCGACCATGAGGGGGAAGTAGTCGGGGCTGGCCCATGAGCAACCCTCAACGGCCAGAGCGAACGTGGCCGCAGGCTTGCTGTCATCACGGGCCTTGACTTCGGCACCATGGAAATCAGGGACAGGGACGGCAGGGGCCTTGTTCTCGGCCGAGAGATGGCCAAAGGCCTTCTCAGCGGCCTCAACCAGCATATCGTGGTCCACGCCACCAGTACCGACAAGGACCATGCGGGGGGCCGTGTAGAAGGTGTCGATGTACGACTTGAGGTCGTCGCGAGTGATCTTCTTCACATTGTCCTCCGGGCCCAAGATGGTGTAACCCAGAGGGCTGGTGGGGAAGGACACGCTATGCAGGTAGTCCATGACGACCTCCTCAGGAATGGAGTTGACCTCCTGGGTCTCGCGCAGAATGACGCCACGCTCAGCCTCCACGGCACGCTCGTCAAAGGTAGAGTTGGTCAGGATATCGCCGAGCAGCTCGATGGCGGAGCCGGTATCGCCGCTGAAGCAGCGGGCTGCGCAATTGGCGGGGTGAGAGAAAGACGATCGACGTGAGATAGATACAGCGCGTCTTGGCACTGTGCAGAACGATTTCTACAGCCCAACGTGCAATGCAATGACGCACCAGTGTAGACGGTCGCCTCGCGAGAGGTGTAAGCGTCGAGGCGCATGCCCATCGTCTCCACCTGCTTCTCGATATCAGCCTGAGAACGCTTGTTGGTACCCTTGAAGGCCATGTGCTCCAAAAAGTGCGCAGTGCTACACGAATTTGCATCGACAACCCCATGACATCGAGATCGTGCAGTTTTGCTGAGGGTGAAACCGGAGTTCCAAACCGCGTGAAGGTTAAAAAGTGTCCCTTACGACATACCCATTGTTGTGGCTGTTCTCGAAGCGCGAACCAGCATCAACATGGACGGCAACGCAGGCGGTCTGATGGGGCGTCTGTGGGTTGACGCAGCAGAACAAAACACAATTCAAAAAGGCAAAGAGGAATAAAGTGAGAAGCGTGCTCCAAATGTTAAAAAGCATCATCGACTATAGACCTATAGACCTGATTCCGACCCGCGCACCTGCTCAGTCACCACACGAAAGCCATTGGCCAGAGTGGTGATCTTCGTCTCAGCCGTGTTGACCAGGGATTGATCATAGGCAGCCTAGAATTTACGCGAGGCATAAGGCAATGACTTATCTGACTCAATCCGCACAAGGACCAGGGAGTGCAAAGACCAGTGCGAGAAACTATCTCGTGCCCTAAAATTGCATACCTGAGCCATGTGACGCGAAGTCTGTGCCCGCACCAGGGGGCGGAGGGCTTGACGGAAGGCCATGGTGACCGGTCAATGCAAACAGCAACCTGATAAGGTTCACATTGAAGGCAAGGAGACGGGTCTGTCAGGCTGTCACGAGGTAGCAATGCGGAGGAGAGAGAGAGAGAGAAAGAGAGAGGGAAAAAAAAAAAAAAAAAAAGAACAATCAGCTCGAACAAGGCCAAAGCTGAAGACACAAGAGCCTCTGAAGACCGTGTTGAGCATATGATACCACTGCTGTTCAACCCCTTTCTTCCCCACCTCAGCCGAGACACCCTTCAGACCATCCCTGCAGTAGTCGTGCACAAGGGCGCCACCGAGCCAGGTTTGCTCACTGCATGCCCAGGCTGGGCCAACACCGTTGACCTCGAGCTGATGACCTCAACACTGACAAGCAATGCAGGTTGCATCGCCCCGACCCCAACGCCATCAACTGCATAAAAAAAAACCCCCCCTAATTTTCCACAGACACCCAATAGACCATCCGAGCCCCCAAGCGACTGCCATTTGGCCATGTGCATTTGGAGGAGGTCCGGGGCAAGGTCTTTGCCATCAGACGCCCAGCTCAGTCTTCGTCTTGCCCCGTGCACGACGTTTTTCTTCCCGCAGCTCGCACCTTGGTCCAAGATACACGAAATGTGAATGGTTTAGTGCCGGTTTTTCCCCGTGTTTCAATACAATAGCCCTGGACCTTCAATCGCCTAAAGTGTGATCAAGTGTGATTGTAAGCGTTCGGCGCCAAGGCGTTGCAACCCGGCCAAAGTGTGATGTAAGCGCACTTTTACGTGTCAGTGTATTTGGGACTCGAAAACAGTGAGCGCAACCACTGGAAACACCAGAAAAGGCTGGGGGCTTGCTCGGGTGGCCACAATCGAACCGATCATGCCTACCGCAACGGCAGACCAAAGGGGGTACGGAAGAGCTTCAAGAGCTGGTGCGAGGCGCAATGACTCCTCACTTTCCACGACCAGCGCTCAAGGCGATACTTGCAATAGCATAACATCAGACAGATCAGATCAGATGGAAAAATAGTGGTACATGTACTTGTATTATTATTATTGTATTATCATTCACATGTCGATGCATCAATTCCCAGCTCAAGCATGCCTGCCGCAGGCGCTCCACCCAGACGAGTGAAGCGCCTTGGGCAAGGCAAACTATTGACATTGGCGCGCGCAGCGCGAAGCTTGACCCAAAGCCGGGAGCTTGACGGCAGGGATTACATGAAACACAAACTCGATCAAGCAGCCAATCAAACAAGCGATCCGTCCGCTGGCCCGGTGGCCAGTGGGTGCAATAACATTGCCACCCGCGGCTCAGGCAGAGGCGGGGTCGGGGATGGGAAGGTTGGGGTTGGGCAGCCAAAGACTAAGGTCGTGGGCGTAGGCGTCGTCCAAGTCGTAGTGCGCCATCCAATCGCGAAGAATATCAGTGTCTTCCTCGGCAAAGGCCATGCGCACGGCCTCTGCCGGTAGCTCCGCACGCGTGATATCATAGCGATCGAGGAGGAGAGCAACAACCTGTCGCGCCCCGTTTGCCACTGCCTCGATCAGCAGTCCCTCTGGCTGCTCCAAGATCTGTGAGCGCGTGAACTGGTCGGCGTCGATCAGGAGGCTCAGGTGCATGGCCCGATCCCAACGTAAGACTGCTTGGACAAAGTGACGACACAGCATCGTCGAGTGGCGCGAGCCTGATGCGGTGAGCGGCTGTAGACGCTGCTCAAACCACCATCGAGCAATGGCTTCATCGGGCATCTGCACAACCTTTTCAATGAGGTCGATGTCAAAGCTGTCACGCATATTCTGTGGGAGAGTCCGGGTCCGGCGGGCACTGATCTGCCCGAGCATCAGGGTGGCACAATCAAACCGGTGGGCCAGCAGGGTGCCGACCAGAACCAAGAAGCCCGTTTGGAATCCCAAACGCCGCCCGAGCTTCATGCGCGTAAGGAAGAAGTGCAGAAGCTCGGGCGTAGCATTGGATCCAACAGCCAGCGGCGACGACCAAGCAAAACGCAGGTGCCAGTGCGGCGCCATCAGTGCTTCCATGCGTCGGCACACCAGTCGCAAATTCTTGAGATCGCGCAGAGTCAGCCGCGACAGGATGAAGTCGCGAAATGTCTCCCTTGGCAGTGCCTCTAGTGCCTCGAACAGGCCCAGGTCGTTCGCCGGTAGCACCCCCGCGGGTGTCGCAACCTCGCTGCTGTCCTCCATCCGGCTGGGTGGCAATTGTAGGCTCGACCCCCGCGCGCCAACTGACAGCTGAACCGGGCGTGATGGACTTGATGTCGTCGGCTTGGCCTGCGACGAAAGGGTCCTTGCTTGTGCGCGCAACCCGGGCGCGAGACGCGGGCACACACCCAAATTAAAGAGCGCAAGTGACGCGCGTAGAGATCACTGGACGCTCGCTGCACGCATTGTGCATTCACCAGATTTACCACAAGCAAATCTGCCAAAGGCTTTTGGGATGTCCCTTGCTCATCGGCCTCACCCTGCCAGCTCTGGATCATGTGCTCATGCAGCGACAACTCGACATCTAAAAATCAAAAAAAAAGAAACAAAAGCAAAACAGTGCGATGTGTGTGTGTGTGTGTGTGTGTGTGTGTGTGTGTGTGTGTGTGTGTGTGTGTGTGTGTGTGTGTGTGTGTGTGTGTGTGTGTGTGTGTGTGTGTGTGTGTGTGTGTGTGTGTGTGTGTGTGTGTGTGGGAGAGA